GCTAAAACTGCACAAACCAACTGAAAGAAGCCTAAGAAGCTTAAATTAAGAAAGAAGCTGATAGAAGCACAAAAAAGATTAAAAAAGAATAAGCAAAAACACAGCTGAAAAAGCAGGGGGAAAAACTTCTATTAGAAAAATAAAATAAAATAAAAAGCTGAAGGAAGCTACAATTAGAAGAAAGAAGTAAAACAAAGCAGAACCAGAACAAAAGGTGTAAAATGCAGGAAAGATTTAACAGTTTTGAAAGATTTTAAGGAAGAAATTTAGTTTTGATGGACAGAAAGTTTGATCCTGATTAGACAAGGTTTCAAATATACTTTTGACCTTTTTTGAACTGGGCTTTACGTAACTATCTCACCTGTAGGTGAGTCCTGACAAATGACTTGCGACCCGTGTAGTCAAAGTTACTCTTCATGAGGAAGTACAGCAGGTGGGCTGCGTCGCTGCGAATGGAGCTCAGCTTGGAGTTGCAACATTTCAGGATCTCATAGCAGAAAGCTGCACACATGTCTGCACGCCCTTCAAAAAACGTGCACGGGAACTGATGAGCGGGAAAAAAGACAATGTTTTAAAGTCTTACCTCTTAGTTTATGCCGCAGCATAACGAGCGATGTTACAAATAAGTCAAGAAAGTCCATCAAACCTTGTAGATGAAGGTGCGCAGAGAAGTGAAAACTTGCTTCAGGGCCGTTTCTGACTGATTGATGCGCAGGAAGCAGAGGTGGACTTCAAATACCTTCTTCATGAGCGGACTGTGGCCGTGATCAGAGCTAAGCTGCGTCTGTGTGGAGAAAAAAAAACATGTCGGCTCAAAAACTGCTGCTCTGATGGAGCATAATTCATCATAAATGCATGGAAAATATTACACTTCATACCTTAAAGCTCATAATGAAGATGCTGAGCGTGTCCAGGACAGTTAGACACACTTCAGTGGCAATGTTGGCCTCCAGGAGCGACTGATTCAACACATCAGCATCTGAGTGACTGTAGGCTGAAAAGACATGACAGAAATGCTGTAGCTCTTTGATGTACGACCTTTACGCAGTGATCATTTAAAGGTTTCACCTCATATCCTTCAGTGTTACCACAAAGCTGCCGTTTGAAAGATGTGACTTTGTTTTTTATGATGTTGAAAAGATAAAGTTTCATCCCAAACAGAAGGCAAAAATGTTTTTTTCTACTAAATGAATCAAACATTTGGTGATAGGTTGGTGAGATTCTGTTTATGGCATCATCTATGTTGACGGGCTTAAATAAAATATAAATTAACTAATTGCAGCATGAGTAAAATAAGAGTCACAACAATAAAAATGACTTGGCACAAATGAGTCAAAAACATTTATTTTTGTCTTTTTTCTCACTGACAAAAGAAACTTTTACCATTTTGCAAAAAAAAATTTTAAGCGTGTTTTTGGAATGAAACTCAATCAGAATTTACTTGATGTATTAAATGATGTAAAGTTCAGAGCAGGTGAGCTGAGCAGAGGGATGGGAAGGTTTAGAAAGCTACAGTTCAGTATTAACAGGCATGCTGTTTTTTTATTTTTCCTGACACATTCTTACCATTTTCTACAGATATTCCAAGTAAACTTGAAATCTTTCTTACACTGAAAACACAGAAAAACTGTATTAAATGATGCCATTTAACAAAACGACCACCTGGTTTCCCCTAACGTCTCGCCTTGGCTTCATTTCCCCTATTTTCTTAAATGTTTTCAGCGTGACTGAGAGGATGATGGAGATGATGATGAAAAGCACGAGGAACACTGGAAGTGGAGGATGAGGTGGGTGACTCTGGTGCAGCATGTTTGATGACACTTACTGTAGTTAAAAGTGTATGAGTTATCCAGGCTGCTGAGCTGCTGTAAGCGGGCATGCATCATCCCCGCCCTGTTACGAGACACAGGCAGAGTCTGAGACTTTCGCTCATGTGCCACGGGTCCTGCCCCATCCTGGTTCCTGATGAGGATACAGGATAATGTTAACCTAGCGGAGCTGGAGTTAGCCAAGCAGGTAAATGAATGATACCAAAGAGGAGTTACAATGCCGAAGTGTGCTAAAAGCGTTTGCAGACAGCGTATGACATTTTGAAGATGAAAAACTGATGAGTTTATGTTTAACATGCAGTTTAAGATGATGATTTTAATAGTGTTGGCAGGGATTCTTCGGAAAGGTTAAGAACAATTAATATCTTACCTGTTGTAGATGGTTCTTTGACTTGTGTTAATTTGGTTAAATAGAGTTTAATTAAACCTAAATTGATTCACTTAATGAGTAGTCTGAGCAGCTCCAAGACAAATACTTCAAATAGTAAAGATCCACAGCAATTAATGTGAAGGTTTTATATGAACCTGGAGTTCTCACATTTTATATTCAAATGTTTCAAATCTCAATTCTAAACAAATCTGGAATTATTAAAAATAAGCTAATTCTTTGTTATTTAATTTGCTGCCAATTTACAACTTAAAAACTTGTTTGCCTACAATTGCTCTAGCTTAGCTTAATATGCATTCTATTTTATAATAAAAATATTTTAAACTTGAGTAAATTACTTTTCATGCCTCAGTAAAATGAACTGTCTTTGTTTTAACACAATACATGTTCAGTAAACTGAACATAAACTCAAAGCTACTGCAGGTAAAGGTTACAGATGCCATTAAACAGTTAAAATACAAAACAACCTAACGTAAAAAATGCCTAGGCACAAAACATGTCGTCAGACGGCGTATCTGCTCATTTGTCGGGCAACCACATTAAGAGCTTTTTAACAAATTTATTGCTAAAAACGAAGTCATATAGCTGTGTGCTGAAAACAATATAATAGGTATAAGCTAAAATACAGTTTTACTAGTCATGTACTCAAACAAATCACTGGTCTTGCAATGAACACATTTAGGTAGGTTGATTAGAACTAAACTCTCTTCCTCCACAATGAAGGGATTAAACGAGCTATCTGCAACAGGTTAAGTACTATTGTTTCATAAACTTTCCACAAAATCCCACTTAAAATGATTCAAAATATTTGTTTTAAAACACAGCAAATTAAAGCTTAAGCCATGCATGTAAGAACAGAAGCAGCGATAAGTTGGAGAGAGTCACAGCACYGCAGGGTCTCTCAGATAAGAACATATCGTGCAGTGAGTCCACCGAGTCCACCTGGTGGCTTACCCAAGCAGGAGAGGGCAGGAGCCAGGATTTGTTTAGTTAAACTTGCCCGCATTAAAGTGAATAGAGGTAGAAACAGTGGTGAGAGGTTAGAGAGTAAATACTCAAAGTTCTCTGAGAGTGGAGGCCCCAAAAGACTGAATGAATTATTGAATCAATTTGAATATTTCACATACTTCTCATTAAAACACTTTATACATTATARCAGTCTTTAAAATGTACAAAATTTAAACTGCAGCAACATTGTGTCGTCTTATAATCAGGACTGTAAGACAGAAATTACTGATTAGTTACATCAACATTACCTTGCAATGTATCTTTTTCCCATGTACCTAAACTGATGGAGGCACACCCTAGGAGAGGCAGAGGAAAATCAAACATTTCTRTAAGTGTCTATTTTTAACACCAAMATACCCGACRGCAAYGATAGKTGTCTTACTCTATTAAAGTGAAAAAGTCCATCATCTCAGCAGATGAAGATTTGTTCCAATATGTGAACAGAGCATCTGGAAAAGACACAAACCAACACTGCAGACACATTTATTTTGGTAAAATACATAAAGATGCTCAATGTTTGAGGTGAGATTTTACCCTCAGACATGGTTTTAAGTATGTGCAGAAAACCCATGAGGAGGCTCTTTATCTCTGCCTGATCCAGTTTGTCRCATCGCAGCAGGGAGTTTCCCAGGGCTGAGGAGGACTGGTTCTGGAGGGACAGAGGTGGCTCATTAGCAGAGGTTTATAGTAACTAAGTACATTTACTTTGTTACAGTACTTAAGTAGTTTTTTTTTTGAAGATTTGTAATTTTACCAATTTTTTTAAATAGCTACTTTTACTTTTATTTTGTTACATTTTAAAGCTAAAAACGATACTTTTACTTTACTTTAAAATGTAACACCTAGTTACTTGTTACAAAATTCATGAACAAGAAGCTGTTTCTCCACTCTAAAAAAATGAAGTGTTGAATTTACTCAACAAAGTCATGTCAGCTGGCTATATGATATACATATATCGCACAATTTATGCAACCTGGTTTGGTGGAACCAGTTTGGTTCAGTAAATTCAACAGTTTATTTCTTAGAGAGTGTGTAAAAGTACCTTTATTTTTACTTTCCCAATTTTTGTGAACAGTTTTATGAGTTTTACTTGAGTAGTTTTCTCATCAGTGAAATTTGTTCTCACCAAAGTCATTTTCTGTTCATGTAATTTTACTTTTATTTAGTTTTTTTTCAAGTACTTTGTAGACCTCTGCCAGGAAGGAACACTCAAGTATTTTCTGATGAAGCTGGTGTTTGAGTGAAGCTAATAAAAAGTTGAAATGGAATAGTTCCTAAGGGCTTGCCTCTTGGTGCAGGATATTTTGTTTTACYATAGACTTTGGGGACTTCTCTTRGCTACCACCATWCAAAATATCAGTAGCCTATGTCAAATATGTCTAAAAACCACTGAGTTATGGTCAAGTTTGAATTTTAGCTGTGGCGGCCATCATGCAATTTTGATTTGGATTCAACTGAGCCAAAAAAGACTAAAAAGGCTGGGTTATTGCTGTTTTAAATTAGCTCTGGTGGCCGTCTTGCGTTGTTATTTAGAATTTTTTGAAGAATGCTCTTGGCTACTACTATACCAATTTTAGGCATATGCCACAAGCATTTTTTAAAATTAACAATAGCAGTTGGCTTAAACTTGAAATTAGCATTCAGAATGTGTTGGGTTACCTCTCAGCTACCATCACAGCAAATTTCAGTCAACTACGTCCAAAAATGGCTGAATTAAGGTCAATTTTATGTGTTAGTTATGGTGGTCATCTTAGATTTTTGATTTGGCTGCAGCAGGTGATTGGGATCATTCTCAGCTACCATAAAACAAAATTTCAACCCAAAATGGCTTAAAATGTTTAGTTATTGCAGGTTCAAATTAGCTTTGGTGGCCATGTTGAAYTCTAATAAAGAGTTTAGAATATGTCAAAGCTTGTTCTCAGCTGCTACTATACCAGTTTCAGCTTTGTGGGTCTAAAATAGCTGAATTATAGCCTTATCTAAAATTAGCATTAGCGGTGAGCTTAAACTTGTGATAAGCAGTGAAAATGCGTTGRGTTAGCTCCCAGCTACCCACCCACCATATTTTTGTACCGTATCGCTGAGTTATCTGGGTTCCATGTTGAACTACATAAACTCCATATTTCTCCCTCCCAGCCAAGAAGATATTCTGCCCAGAAACAGCCTCAGCCAATCGGAAGGCCAGATTGTGATGTCGTTACAGGAAACTATAAAAAAACTATATTGAAATAATTTTTGAAAATTATGAGTATGAGAAAGGATTGGGGTTTTTTTCATGGAAAATTTCAAATTTTTATAGCACTTTATGTCAGAGATATGACAAGTTAAAAATAGTTTTTGTTTCAGTTTTGAAGAGCAGACTGAGAGAAAATTATTATGGGAAAGGTAGATAGCAATCGGTGCCACAATTTAATTTAATTTAATTGAAGCACGAGGCTCTCTTGTTCATTTGAAATGGCAAGTCCTAATTAATGACACACTAGCTTGTGCTCTGGCTGAGATTCGTGTTTTTTTTATGAACCCACATGCAGTCCAGTCATGACATACAGATTCTAGGTTTTGGGTGTGTTTTAGTCTCATTTAAACTTATTTCCATCAACAAATAACTATCCAGACTTGATTTATTTTTAGCAGCCTAAGTTGAACCTGTGTGTTTGTGGGAATTTTAGTAGACCATTATTAACCCCTGTTGAGCTCTTATTTCTCTTGGCTTRCTTGGTTTGAATCATTATGATGCCTAACCAATTTAGCTACCTGAAAAAGTACTGGGTTTTACCACAGGAACCATTTAGCAGTCATTAAGCTAATCTTGGTGTTTGTGACTGACACACAGACACACACACACACTTCATATTTTCTGGCTCATAAAGTAGTTCTGACTTGATTTATTTTGAGGAGCCAAAGGCCTGGGATCATGTGGTTAAGTTGCAGTAATAAAGTAATTCACTCAGATGCTACACGCCTCTGCGAATGCTGGAAAATGTGACTTTTACACAACAAAGACTGTTTCGCCGAGCCAAGGCAGAGATCAGTAGGAAAACAGACCCAAAGCAGTCCTGCCACAGCTGGAAGTATACCAAGCACAGCCTCTCACCAGCATTTAGTCTCGACCATGAAACTGTCTGAGGATGACTTCATGGAAAGCATGAAACAATTAGGAAACTTTTTTTAAAGGCATCKTAGGAGAGCATCAGACTTCTAGAATGAAGCATTGAAAATGTGAGTAATACTGTTATGAACTCGTCTTATTTTTGTACTATTATGTTTTTTTTTATTACGCTCCAGTCCTCCAGTGGTGGGACAGAGTTTATGACTGAAACAATCACACAAYACAAATTCAAAAACACACTAAAAGAAACACCAGAACAAAGCTGAAAGCACAGAAAGGTCCGGATCTTTGTGTTGTATATGTCTTTATATATTTAGCTTAAAGCAGTTCCTGAGAAATTTAACTACACATAAAAGTAAGAAATCCTTTAAAGTAACAGTTCAGATCWTGCAGCAGTTATGATCACTTATTATCTTACCTGTTGTAGATAGTTTAGTTTAAGTTTATCTCAGTTTGATCCAGACAGATGAGCTAACAGMTAGTTACTGCAGGTAAACTGAAATTGGGATATCTTGATAAAATACTGTTCACACCATCTGCTATGAAATAAGTTTGGTCAGAATTTAAAATAATCTTTTTAAACTGAGACTTTTCATCGACATACCTACAACAGGTGAGATATTATTGCTCATTAACTCTGAGTCTTGAACCCCAATCTTGAAGGCATGATCTAAATGAAAAAAACCTAGAGTTTAGGGATTCTGGACACKCCAACACACAGTAACATTCCCAGATGGGACACTCCGTGGAGATGTTTTATACTTGAAGCAAAATGCAGGACAGCAGGACACTCTCTGGGAGACAGGGGACAGCAAGCAGAGAGAAGTCCACGGTGACACGCTTTGGACRCGAGGAAAGCGTGCTGTCTTCACCCTCCGTAAAGAAGAGCGGGACGTTAGCGGAGTGTCTCCGAACACATTTCTCTGTCTGCCATGGTTTCCGTGCAGCAATAGCAGGAAGTCAAAGGTAAAAGTTAAGAAAAATGACCTTTCTGTTACTGCTTAGTTTACATGTGTCAAACTTAAGGCCCATGRGCCAAAAGTGGCTCTCTACAGCATTTTAAATGGCCCCGCGAGAGCTTTAAAGCTGTAGTGACGTCTTACAATAAGTGCATACTGCTTTAAAGTCAACATTAACCACAAACTACATCTCCCATAATGCATGTTGATGATATCCCAYCTTTAGGTGGAGGTGCACAGGGTTCAAAAGTAGCCATCAAAATTTGCAGTGTAAAAACTCCATTTGGCTGCATTTTTTCAGCTACTTTTGCTGCGGCCCAATTGTACTGGGAAGTAGGAATTTTCCACTTACAAGTTGTAAATTTATACTGGAACGCCCCTACAGTTGAAACTCCGTATCAGAACGTGGGAGAGTTCAGAATTCAAGATGGCAGCTACTCACCACAAATCAACAGCAAGTAAAACTCTTACTTTTACTTTTAATAATATTTATGTATTTTTTTCATGTTTAGTCCGTCGTATACATAATGCTTGTCAGTGTTTATAAAAGAATGTGTTTAAACACTGTTTCTATGCAGAAAATACCATGTAGAGCTCAGTTAATCTTTTTGAGTTGCGCTCAGCCATAGTAATGAGATGCGGAATGTGACATTTCATGTTTACAATTGTGTACAACTGGCCCTTTGAGGGCCACCATAAAGCTCACGTGGCCATCATGAGAATGAGTTTGACACCTCTGGTTTAGTCATAGTCTGCAAAATGAATACCAACTGTGAAATAAATATTTCATGTCACAGAGTTTAGATTAGATTTCCAGTTAATCCTGCTTCACAGAATACCTTGTCCAGAGAACTGCCTTTGTCGTTGTTCYTCTCAGGCAGGCTGTTCCCCGAGTCGGTGCTGATCAGGGAGCCACGAGAGTCGGCGTGGCGCACAGAGTTAATGTTTGGGGTGGAGGCTGCATGAGGAGAAGCTGCAGAAAAGAATAAAAACGAGCTCTTCAATTGTAGATCCACTTTCGAAGTATTCCTCTAACACTCTGTCACCTACTGGTGCCTGAGATGGCTCCAAAAACATCTTTGTGCAAGCTGGTGTCCAGGAATGTGCTGGACCTGGGAGGTGTCGTCAGGGGATTGTTTAGAAGTGGATCTTCTCTTCCATTCTGATGGAACAAACAGATTAATTTAGAAAAAACTCTACARTGTTACATTGTGAATGAACTAAACAGTCTGACCGGTATTTAAAAATAAAAATTAAACGCTTCACATATGCATTGTTTTACAGTTCACAACRGAACCAAAATGAATATAAATATTTTTAGAAAGTCAAAAGCACAATTTGTTTTCATCAAWCTTAAGATATTCTTAAAAAACACAAACCATAAAGAGATTTTAAAAAAATACCAAGGGGTGGGTTCACTTCTAACTTTAGCTGTGGGGCTATCTATATTTCCTCCAGGTGTGTTCACTTTTTCTTTGATTATAAGTCCATTAATTGTTACAGTGTGATCCCACTTTTGTTTTGCCAGTTTTACATTTTAGAAATTTTTTATTTTACATAAAAATATTAGTCAGGATCGTCCACAGACAGGACAGTTTATGCCTGTGCGAAAACCATGTAACGTAAATCTTTAAAGTGCTTGTGACATCAAATTTTTGTTTTAATATGAATGTATTTTTGGAAAGATAATGATAATATATTGCAAATAAATTTCACGCCACTGAGACAAACACTGAGGAAATATTTGCAYGTGAAGTAACAGGAAGTGATGTCAAAGGGAATGACAGCATGTAAACAGAGCATTGATCAACAACACAGACTGTAGAGAATCTGATGTTTCTTTAGATGTTTTTATTTCACTATCAGAGAGATGAAGAAGAGTCAGAGTTCAAATAATATTGYTTTAGTGAACAAAGATCAGAGAGTTTTATATCTTAGAGTTCCCCTTTGATGTCACTTCCTGTTTCACTTTGATTGAGCCAAGTTTAAATGGAAAATATGTGACAAAATGGGTAAAATCCTGCGTATTATGCCAATTTTCTTAAATATAAAGAGGTTTAGTTTGATTTTTTTTTATTTGAAGGATAGACATATCACAAGGCACTTTATTTACTGACTTCTCCATCTTTTTGAGTGTTAACACTATTTTACTTTCTTTTTAAACTGCAAAATAAACGTTTAAGTTTTTGTTTAGTATTTATTTTATTTTATGTTTAGACTGAAAGTCCGTCAGCTCTGAGAAGCAGCCACTAGGTGTCTCTCTTACATTATTAGAGTGGTTGACGGGGAACGGGGAAACCTCCTTCACGTTCAGTCTGTTGACGTTCTCTTGAAGCAGACCAAACAAGGGAAAGTACAAGGTGGACAGCCTGGCCTGCTGGCTCTACAACAAACCATAAAAACTCATTCACTTAATTAAAACKGTGATCACGTGGACACAGAAGTGAAATACAGGAGGAACCACAAACCTTAGAGTTGTAGCGGTCATCAAACGTGTGTTTGATCATGAGGTTCTTCAGCACTTGGATGGCAATCTGACGAATCTCTCTGAACTCCTGCAGAGCCGCGCTGACCTCCCGGAGCAGCAGACCCACCAGAAAATGGTTCCTGCAGAAGTCCTCAGTCAATGAGTACTCCATCTGGAGGTCTGAGGGGCAGAGCCAGGTTGATGAGGAAGTAATCACCGGATGACGAACGTAAGAAACAAACAAGCGGAAGGAAACAAAGCCACAATCAGCCTGAAACAATGAGAGCGAATGGTTGATTCGATAAAAATTTAACACAATTAAATTCTTGCAAAAATATGCAAGTGAGGCTTGTTATGATCGAAATCTGGTCAAAAGCCTAAATGAGGAGAAAACAGACAGCACGAGGACATGATAAAAGCTGGTGACTAATGCAGCAGCAATATTCACTACATTTATTAGAGTAAAGCTTTAATACAGTTACACACTTCCTCGCAAAGACATTTTGTTCTATGTTGTTTCTAAAACCTGCACTTTTCACATACAAGATTAAAAAAAACTTGCGATTTCTTCCTGATAATAGGCCCTCTAATAACCATTCATGAAGTGAACATCGCCAAAGGCCTTCAGCCATGAATGATCACGTTTAAATCTGTTGTTTTAAGAGACGACATGCAGGCAGCACTCCTCAGCACCTACCTACTGGAGTATCATATGACTCCACTGTGTCATAAGTACAAACTGCAGATAATTTTGAGAAACAAAAGAGAATAAAATGTATATTTTGGAAATAAACAAAAAAAACATCTGTACAATAAAATCTTTAAATCCACATTTTGAAACTTTTGTTTTCAATACAAATATATACGGTACAGTACTGCAAAAAGAGACATGGAC